AAAAAAAAAAAAAAATTACAGTCCCGAGGAGGGAGGGCTCTACCATGAGAGGGAATCATAAAAAACGCAGGTCGATCAGCAGGGCAAGGGTTTTGGATAATAGAACAACCGAAATAAAGTAAACCAGCAGCAACGACAAAATGGCCCATGAGATAAAACGGTTCAAGGGACAAGGAACGCAGTAGACACCACGTTGAGAGGAAGGCTGAGGGGGAAAAAAAAACAAAAACAAAAAACAGGGAGGCGTGGAGAGGACTTCGCGAAAGAATGCTCCAGCTGAAATTACCCAACGGCTAGTTTGCAAAGCAGATTAGACACGTATGGGGGAAGAGAGTCCAGGGCATCAGAGCCAAGGAATTTACCCAAAACACAATCACAGGGATAAAAAGAGACGGAACCAAAAAAGGCAAGAGGAGGGAAAGGAAGGACAGTACGAGAGCCACAGTTTTCGGTGAGACGTTCCAGACGGAACGAATGTGGAGAAGGCAGATGGGGACATCAGGATCCACGGAAGGAGTGGCTGGAATATTCTCTAGCATTCAGGACAGCTGGATCTAGCTTGGCCTGAAGACAAATCCCCAGGCATGAACTGATAAATACCGATGTCTGCTTGGAGCCAGCCTGGGTCTGGGCTCTGTCTCCACTAACTGGAAGCCCAGGCCGACACCCGCTGCTTGAGAGGAGTGCCCGAAATCTCAGGACGGCATGGCGGTCACTGGTGGCACCTGCCCACTCCCCCTCTCGGTATCTGCCCGCTCAGCGGTCAGTTCTGCAAGACTGTTTTGTCTGAGGGAGTTCTCCGGCCTCTGGAAGCCACGTGGCCATGTCTGTAGCCAGAAGTGCCAAGGAATTAACACCCCCCCAAAGCAGCCCTCAACAATGACTGATAGGAGATGTGACATACAGCCCAGCTCCCTGGCCCCTGGTCAACACTGGCTGGTGGTTTCCCCAAAAGACTCGGGCTCCAGTAGTCCACGGCGGAGGCCGCGGGTGGGGAGCACGTTCTGCTGTCTTCTATCCCTTGTAGCCCTTCCCGACTCCCGTATCGGGGCTCCCTCCACCACTCAAATTAAACACTTGATCGCGAATCCTCATGGCAGGCTCAGCTTCTGGGGGATCGAAACTAAGGCAGGCAATATGGCTCAGGAGTTTTGCTTCCCACCCTTGTCCCCTCTGTCCGCATCAATGGCAAGTCCCACAATCTGACAGACCCCCCTTCTAATTGGTAAATCGAATGCATTAAGGCCAGGGGATTTCCCATCTCACCCTTCTGTCCTGGCTTTCCTCCGAACAGATGAGGCACAGGCAAAGTATATACGATTGCCCTCGTATTGACGGGTGTAAAAATCTTTCCCACGTTGCATTTCAGGGCTGAAATATCAAGAACAAGGTGCCGGCCTTCCACGCACCGAGGGCTGGCATAAACACATTGTTCACACGGTCTGTGAGTTCATCTTGGTTGACTTTCCATCCTGAACTAATTTTTCTTCACACACTCTAGACGGGGAAAGAACTTCACCTAAAACCAGCCCCCTGAGTGGCAGACAGTCTGGATGAAGCCTTCAGAACCCCGCGGGCTTGCCGAAACCCATCTGAGTCGGTGCTGCTGTGTGATTGAGGGTTAAGTCAGGTGATTAGCTGGTTCCAGTGAGGTTGGACCCCAGGACGTGCCCAGGAGAGGCCAGTGCATTTCCCCAAAGATGAGAAATTCTGAATGACTTAAAACAACACAGGCCCAGGAATGATTTAAAGCTCCATCCTTTCCAGAGTCATGTCTGCAAATCAAATGAACTGCATCCATAAATCCCCCCGGAGTCCGTGTGGGGACCTCCAATTACCATCAGCCGATGAAGACAGATGGGACACACTGGATGGGGGTCGGGGCCCCTGCCCCCAAGCCAGGAAGGTTGCGAGGCCAATCATGCCCTAATTAATTACCCATTCTCAGCAAATAGCTCCATGTTCTCTGCCTTGTCTCCCCACTTTGCTCCGCTCCCCTCAATTTGCTCCTTAGAGAGTAGAAAACACCTCGCCCCCAGGAGAGAAGCCATCAATGGGGGCCTGACGTGGATGTGAACGTATTCCAGGACCCTCCTGCTGACACCCTGGGGCAAAGTCAGCTAGCAGCCGCACACTTTCTGGAATGACCCGCCCTGATCTTTGGAACCCGGGAACATAATGAGATGCCACTCCTGTGATGATGCTGTGCTGTGTGGCGCAGCTGATGTTGAGGTAGGGAGACCTGCCTGGATTATCTGGCTGAGCCCGGTGTAGACACGTGAGCCTTTCAAAGCAGGGAGGTTTCTCTAGCAGGCAGCAGAGGGGAGGTTAGAGGTCTAAGGCATAAAAGGACTCCATGCATGTTGCTGGTTTTGAAGACAGTGGGGGTGTGGGAAGTGACAAGGAACACGGGTGGCCTTAGGGAGCTGAGAGGGGTCCCCGGGGAACAGCCACCAAAGACACAGACACCTGCCACAGAAGTGCAGAGACAGGAACGAGTGTGCAGGCTGATTATTCCCCAGGACACGCCAAGAAGGGCCCCGCCGGCTCACTCTGCTGTCGGCCTGTGGTGCCCTGAGCCTGGAACCCAGCTGAGCCCGCCCCGGCCCCCGACGCACCGAGCTGAGCTAATAAGCGGGCCTTGTTGTAAACCACCAAGTCTGTGGAACCAGACTTGCGCACTGGGCATCACCTGTCTGGTTCATCACAGAGCCCACGACCGGAATGACGTCGCCCTGTGGCTTCTCACAGCCTCCCCATCACTGCATTCTGGACTGTGGTTCAGCGACTCTGCTCCGTTCCTCC